CTGGTCATGTAAGTCAGGATATGTCATTTCCCTGTTCAAAATCCTCTTCCTTTTTGCTCTATTTAAATATTTAAAGGGCATTGTGCCTGCAACTTACTTTTAAAAATGGCATGTGACTGACAACCCCCAGAAGGGGGTGGGGGTGGGGGGAGAGATAAACCACAGGACTTTATGCATGTGTGCATGAACAATAGACATGGACAACAAAGCTGGGGACAGGGCGGGGAGGGAGGGGAAGGGGGGAATCAGTGGAGGAAAAAAGGAGAAACATCTGTAACAAAAATAATTTTTAAAAATGGCATGTGTATTATAGATATAGATAATATACACATTTGGGTAGATAGCGATTATCTGGCCCAAAATGTAAATAGAGCATAAAGTAGTTTTTGCCAGGTTTCTCCACTGTAGTTACTGTTTTCCCCCCTTTCCATATACTATTCCTTTACTATTCCTTGGAAGACAATCAACAGTTCCAGCCTTCTTTTTTTTTTTTTATCCTCACCTGAGGACATTTTTCCATTTTTTGTTCAGATAGAGCGGGAGGGAGAGAGAGGAAGAGAGAGAGAGAGAGAAACATCGACATGAAGGGACACATCGAGTGGCTGCCACCCGCACGACCAACCAGGGCCGGGGACAAACTGCAACCGAGGTACGTGCCCTTAGCGGGAACCGAACCCGGGTCTCTCTGTACCGCAGGCCGACGCTCCAACCGCTGAGCCAAACCGGCCAGGGCAGTTCCAGCCTTCTTTAGGTGTGGGAGGTTGGGATTATACTTCACATCCTGGAGGGTGGAAAATCAACATATATTATTTGTAATTCTTTCATACGGAAAATTTGTCTCTTCTTCCATATTCACATCAGTATGGACTCATGTATATATATTTGGTCTTGGAAGCTCTTTCAGCTTGACCCCTTTGGTCCTTTGACATGCCCCCATTGTATTGTTTTTTGAGCTCTTTTGCTTCCTTTCTTGTACTGAGAGATGTTCCAGGCTCATCTTGTATTTTCCCTGCCCTAGCCCTACAACCAGCCATTTCTCAAAGGAACCCTGATTCCTTTTATTTGGAGAATGTTGTTTACAAACCATGATCTGGATATGCTCACTGATACTGGAGTGTCATTACTTCTAGGTCCTCTCAGAGAACACAGCTAGGTAATATATACTAATCCATGTATACACATTAAAATATTTTTTTTCTTTATTGATATTAGAGAGAGGAAGGGAGAGATAGAAACATTGATGAGAGAGAACATCAATAGGCCGCCTCCTGCATGCCCCCCACTGGGGATGGGGCCCACAACCTGGGCATATGCCCTGACTAGGAATCGAACAGGTGACTTCTTGGTGCATGGGTCGGTGTTCAACCACTGAGCCACACCGGCTGGGCTCATTTTATAATTGTTTCTGTATCTATCCATCTGCATGTGTGTGTGTGTGTGTGTGTGTGTGTGTGTGTGTGTGAGAGAGAGAGAGAGTTCATATTCATATCTGTGAGCAGTGATTCTGGTAATTTTTTTTTATTAAACACTGAATATTGTGCGTGAAAAGTTACAGTCTCTGGATGAGGTTGTCATCTTCCAGAGAGGATTCACCTGTCTTCTAACTGGAAACTAGAGTTAGCAGATAATTTACTAAAAGGCTGATCTGACTTGTTTCAGACTTCTTGTAATTCTGGTCCACATGGGTTTCATTGTCACTCCTAGAATATAACTTTTCAATGTTTACACTGAGATTGTGGGGTGATTACAAGAACACCTCCTTTTGGCATGTTCTGTACTCCAATTTTTACTCCCTACCACAGTGAGTTTGCTGAGAGCACATCCTATTTGGCAAGTTCTGTACTCCAATTTTTACTCCCTACCACAGTGAGTTTACTCCCTACCACAGTGAGTTTTCCAGTGTCGTTTGGCTAGATTTCTTGGCCTTTGGCTCTGCCAGTTGAAGAATCAGCAAGTGCTTCGGAAAATCAATTGGCATTAACTGTCAGGCCCAATACTCTGCATTTCCCTTCCCTTTTTACTCACTATACTTCATTATTGTTTTACTTTTTTACAGTAAGTGGCATTACTTTTATAACTCATTTCCAAATCCTAGTAGGCAACTGGATTTAGAAAATGGGAAGAGAAAAAAAAAATGCCCCAGCCGGTTTTGCTCAGTGGTTAGAACGTCGGCCTGCAGACCAGAGAGTCCCAGGTTCAGTTCCCACTAAGAGCATGTACCTCAGTTGCAGTTTGTCCCCGCCCCAGCTCGGGTCGTGTGGGTGGCAACCAGTCAATGTTCTCTCTCACATCGATGTTTCTCTCTCACCCCCTTTCTCCCTCTCCCTGTATCTGAAGATAATTGCAAAAAAAAAAAAAGAAAGAAAGAAAATGGGGAGAGTGAGGAGCGTAGGATAGCTGTTATTTTATCTGAACAGCAAGATGTTTAGTAGTGCAATTCACCATGATAGGGAATTCAGGAGGAAGATATTATGGATGTATGTGTTAAGTTCATGAATTTGAGTTTACCTGTAGAATACAGGATAGAAATGTGTAGTAAGCAGCTGGCTCTTAACATTTCATTCTCAGAAGACATGGCTAACCAGATGTAAGTTGGATCATCCTATTTTTTTTTTAATGTTTTTATTGATTTTAGAGAGGAAGGAAGAGGGAGAGAGAAACATTGATGAGAGAAGCATTGCTTTCTGCCTCCTGCATGCCCCTTAGAGCCCACAACCCAGGCCTGTGCCCTGACCAGTAATCGAACTGATGACCTCTTGGTGTACGGGATGGTGCTCAACCTACTGAGCCACAGTGGCCAGGTCTCTTTTACACTTTTTAAATTTCCCAAAAAACACAAAAATTGATTGTACCTTTCTCCTTACTCACTTCTCAACTTATCATCATGTCAATACCTTCAAGATCCTCTACTTCTGGACCTCATAATTCTATTTACAGACTTCCAAATACTTGTTCTTTTTGCTCTTTCTCCTTTTAATTTTAGATTCTTCATAAAGCAGGGAGATGGTGATACCATTCCCTAGTTCAAAGATGCTAATGGCTTTCCATTATCATGAGAGCAAAATATAGAAATGTAACTACTCCCACCATACCTAGCACTTCTTAGATGACACTAAACCCCAGAAAGTTTAAGTGCCTGCTTATCTACTATCACAATGCTCAGCTGTCTTTAAAAAAATTTGTTTTCGCCCTGGCCGGTTTGGCTCAGCGGTTGGAGCGTCGGCCTGCGGTCCGGAGAGACCCGGGTTCGGTTCCCGCTAAGGGCACGTACTTTGGTTGCACTTTGTCCCCGGCCCTGGTTGGTCGTGCGGGTGGCAGCCACTCGATGTGTTCCTTCACGTCGATGTTTCTCTCTCTCTCTCCCTTCCTCTCTCTCTCCCTGTACAAAAAAAAAAAAAAAATTTGTTTTCTTTATTGATTTTAAAGAGAGGAAGGGAGGAGAGAAACATCGATAGGAGAGAAACATCGATGAGAGAGAACATTGATTGGCCACCTCCCATATGCCCCCCACTGGAGATTTGGCCCACAACCTGGGCCCGTGCCCTGACCAGGAATCGAACCAATGACCTCTTGGTGCATGGGTCGATGCTCGACCACTGAGCCACACCAGCCAGGCAGCTGTCTTTTCTTTTACTTCATTTTTATTTCCATCTTATCCTTACTCTTTTATTTATTTATTTTTTTATCCTCACCAGAGGACATTTTTCCATTTTTTGTTCAGGTAGAGTGGGAGGGAGAGAGACGAACAGAGAGAGAGAGAGAAACATCGATGTGAAAGGGACACATCGAGTGGCTGCCACCCGCACGACCGAGTGGGGCCGGGGACAAACCGCAACCGAGGTACGCGCCCTTAGCGGGAACCGAACCCGGGTCTCTCAGGACCGCAGGCCGACGCTCTAACCGCTGAGCCAAACCGGCCAGGGCTTACTCTTTTAAATATATGGTCCAGCCCTGGCCGGTTTGGCTTAGCGGTTAGAGCATTGGCCTGCGGTCCAGAGAGACCTGGGTTTGGTTCCTGCTAAGGGTGCATACCTGGGTTGTGGTTTGTCCCCGGCCCCGGTCGGTCGTGCAGGTGGCAGCCACTCGATGTGTGCCTTTCACGTTGATGTTTCTCTCTCTCTCTCTCTTCCTCTCCCTCCCACTCTATCTGAACAAAAAATGGAAAAAAATATCCTCAGGTGAGGATAAAAAACAACAAAAAAACATGTTCCAGCCATTATTTTCATAACACTTAAGCTTGAGGGCAAGAACCTGTTTTTCCCCCTCCAGCAGCACTTAATACAGTACCTGGACACTGAATATTTGTTGAATGAATTAATGGCTAAGCGCCACACCCCACATCACTTCTTATACTTCCTTGCTTCTATGCCTTTGTTGACTATTCCTTCTCTGCAGTTATGCCCCTGCCTCATCCTTCAAACCTCAGATCTCAGGAGCTCCACAAAGCTTTCCCTTTTCTTTCCAGTTAGAATTGAACCCTATCTCCTCTGAGCTCTTGTCTACCTTTATGATTACACTGAGCTATGTGTTTTCTGTATACATCAGTCTTTATCACTATACAATACATGCTTTGTTGGGACAGTATACAAACTGTTTTGTATACAAACTTTGTGTAGACTATAACACCTTAAAAATACCTTGCACATAGTAATTTAACAATGTCTGTTGGATTGAAATAGTAATTGGATAATTATAGGGGATATTTAAAGTAAATGACAGTAGCAGAATTTTAACATGGTTAATACAAGAAAGACAATTTGAAATATTTATTTTTTAAAAACTTTTAATTTTTCAGTAGAAAACTTTGCACATATGTGGCCTATTATCAATGTATGTCAGAAATCAACAAAAAGACTGAGGAAATGTTGCCATTTAAAAAAATCACTAGGTAGGTCTTTTAAAACAGAATATGCTACATAGATTAGTCATGGGAATATTACTATAATTATCATTTTGTTCAATCTATAGATGACAAGATATAGTAATATAGAAATCTTCACAATGACATGGAATTTTTTTTGCTTATTCAGAAGCTGTGATTAAATGGTAATATTGAAGAAATGATTTCAAACCACTAAAGTTTATAGGCTTCATTATTGAGAGAAAAATAAATCCATATTTGCTGTGATCACAGGAACTTTAAAAACTCCTTTTCACTAGGAAAACCAAAACTAGACCAAAAATTATTTTTTGAGAATTATATTTTTTATAACTACACTGGAATTATGTAGTTAATAAATTTAATACCAGAATAGCATAGGGTGTTCACACACAGGGGATTCAATGATAACCAGTGTTAGCATAAGGTAGAACTCTCCAGCTGTCAGCAGATAAGTGTGATATCAGAGTGAATGCTAATTAAATTATGGAAGGAATTAAACTTTCCCTACATTATCTAAAACAACTTCTTCGATATGTAATAATTTGGGCTCACTAAAGGTGTGAGTTTATAATAAACAAATTTATTTCTAAGTTCTGATTGCACATCCCACAACACTGATTTTTACAGTATCTGATAAGGTTCTTAATACTGTTAAAACTCTCCTTTTGTGGATTGTATTGGATAAGACTATAGCTTTTCTTATAACAGACACGGATTTCTTTCCATTGTTGCCGACATTCAATAAAATTTTTATTCACATTGAACATTTCCCCACGACACACAGGATTCCTCCTCAGAAATTTTCTTTAGTAATGTCTGAGCTCTGAGTTAGACCTTCATTATAAAAATCGAATCAATGTTTTCTCTCCACTGTAGTTTTTTAATGTAGAACAAGAGTTGAGCATTGATTAAAACCCTTTTCATAATCATCAATAGCATTCATAAGCTTTTTTTCTGGTATAGTGTCTCTGGTACTGAATAAAGTCGGTGTATACACTAAAGGTTTTCCCACATTTGTCACATTTAGATTGTCTTGGCCAGAATGGACTTTCTCATGATCAATAAGTTCAGAGAGCTGGGTGAAACTTCTGCTGCACTGAATACACCTGTGGGGTTTCTCCCCAGTGTGGATTCTCTGATGTTCAATAAGCTCGGTGCATGTGCTGAAGGCTTTCCAACACGTGTCACATTTGGATGGCTTTTCACCAGTGTGGATTCTTTGATGGTTAATGAGGTCAGAGCGCCGACTAAAGCTTTTGCCACACTGATCACATGGATATGGTTTCTCCCCAGTGTGGATCCTTTGATGTAGGATGAGAGCTGAGCACTGACTGAAAGCCTTCCCACACTCATTACATTTGTATGGTTTTTCCCCAGTGTGGATTCTCTGGTGTTTGATGAGGTCTGAGTTCTGACTGAAACTTTTGCTGCACTGTGTGCATGGGTATGGTTTTTCTCCAGTGTGGATTCTCTGATGAAGAATAAGGTCGGAACTCTGACTGAAGGCTTTCTCACAACTATCGCAGTGATAGGGCTTTTCCCCAGAGTGTACTCTCTGATGTTTAGTGAGGTCTGAGCTTTGACTAAAACTTTTATTGCACTGATTACATGCATATGGTTTCTCTCCAGTGTGTATTCTTTGATGTTTAACGAGGTCTGAACGACGACTAAAGCTTTTAGAACAATCGCTACATGGATAGGGTTTCTCTCCAGTGTGGATTCTCTGATGTAGAATAAGGTTGGAGCTCTGGCTAAAGGTTTTCCCACATTCATCACATTCATAGGGTTTCTCACCTGTGTGAATCCTATGATGTTTAACAAGATCTGATCTTCGACTAAACATTTTACTGCACTGGTTACATGGGTAAGGCTTCTCTCCAGTGTGAATTCGTTGATGATTAATAAGATCTGAAAGTCTACTGAAGGCTTTGCTACACTGAGTACATGGATAGGGTTTCTCTCCAGTGTGAATTCTCTGGTGCAGAATAAGGACTGAGCTCTGATTAAAAGCCTTCCCACATTCATTACATTTATAGGGTTTCTCTCCAGTGTGGATCCTTCGATGTTTAATAAGGTCTGAGTTCTGACTGAAACTTTTGCTACATTGATCGCATGGATATGGTTTCTCCCCAGTGTGGATTCTCTGATGCAAAATAAGATCTGAGCTCTGACTGAAGGCTTTTCCACACACATCACATTTATATGGTTTTTCCCCAGTGTGGATTCTTTGATGTTTGATAACATCAGAACTCTGACTAAAATGTTTGTTACACTGGTTACATGTATAAGGCTTCTCTCCAGTATGGATTCTCTGATGTTTAACCAGGTCTGAGCGCTGGCTAAAACTTTTACTACAATGATTGCACTGATAGGGTTTTTCTCCTGTGTGGATTCTCTGATGTATAATAAGATCTGAGCTCTGACTGAAGGCTTTCCCACATTCATCACATTTATAAGGTTTTTCACCAGTGTGGACTCTTTGATGTTTAATAAGATCTGAGCTCCGACTGAAACTTTTAATACACCAATTACAAGGATAGGGTTTCTCGCCAGTATGAATTCTCTGATGCAGAATCAGAGCTGAGCTCACACTAAAGGCCTTTCCACACTTATCACATTCATAGGGTTTCTCCCAATGGGTTCTTTGATGCCTAATAAGGCTTGTACTCCAAGCAAAGCTTTGTCCACATTCATCACAGTCATGTTGTCTTCTTTTAAAGAGGTTCTGATCCTTTTCATTTAATTTATCCCCATATTCACAGAATTCTCTATATTCAGAATCCTGGAAAACACTGTCTCTTGGGTTGTGAGACTCTTCAGTCAATAGTTCAGTTTTTGCTCTAATTTCTTCCTCTGAAGCCAGTTCTCCAATCTTGGTCTTAGTCTCACCATCTAGAACAATAAACAAAATCCAAATGGAATGTGTTTTCCAGACGTAAGAAAGTTTCAGATGAAACAGATCAGGAGTTACCTATAAAATGTTATCACAATGTGGGAGTGCTACAAAAACACAACATTATCCTCTGAGAAGAAAACTAGGAGGAATCAATAAGTAATGGATCACAATAACCATTCAGAGAAGTGGCTTACTGGATTTGATGTATACATGGTTTGTCACAGGAGACCTGGGAATACCAAAATGTAATCACAGTGACTAGGAAAGTCTGACTACATTAGAGCTGATACACAAGCAATTTATGAATATTCATAAAATAAACAGTGTGAAAGAGTAGAGTGGGTGGAGGAAAAGTGGGAGGAGGCAGCTGCACCCAGGTGTCACTGGGAGGGTACACCAACCAGGCTGGTCAGAGGCTGTTATTAGGTTAAAGAAAGCAACAGTATGCCCAGGAATGGTCAAGACAGAATCCTAAACTATCAAAAATAGGTCTACAGATAATCCTCCATCTCTTTTGTCCTCATTATTACCAAGGAAGTGGCCAAGAATGCATGATCCCATTTTTGGATCAGCCAAATTTACTGATCAAACCTCCTTATTAAGATGTGTAAACAGGAAACGGTTAGAGAGGTGGGGTCAGAAATCTCTGTTGAGTTGGTTTTTGAGGCCATTCCTATGCTCAACAATACCAGATGTCTGTATGGTAGGGAGCATGAGGGCTCCACTGCATTTCTTGATCGTCAGCCCAGTGTTAAGTGGTGTTTACTGTAAAAGGCACATCATTGTCAGAATGCATATGGTCTAGAGAGCTGAACATATGACACTGATTATTTTAAAGGCTAAAGTTCCAAATCCCAAGCCTTCAAGTGGAGGCGTCTTCCCTCCAAAGACAAAGGGCACTGGAAAAAGTAACTTATCTGGGAAAATCTAAGTGTGTATTGAGTGATTTATGCAATATGAACATATTATGGAATTTGCCATATATGTAGAATTAAAATACATGGCAAGAAATAGTACAATGGGAGGGAGGTAAATAGAACTAAAATATTACAAGGTCTTTGGATTATCCTAGAAGTAGTAAATCAAGATAAAATGTAATATATTAAATGTGCATGTTGTAATTTCTTTTTTTTTTTTTATTATCCTCACCCGAGGACATTTTTCCATTTTTTGTTCATGTAGAGTGGGAGGGAGAGAGAGGAACAGAGAGAGAGAAACATCGATGTGAAAGAAACACATCGAGTGGCTGCCACCCGCACGACTGACCAGAGCCGGGGACAAACTGCAACCGAGGTACATGCCCTTAGCGGGAACCGAACCCGGGTCTCTCAGGACCGCAGGCCGACACTCTAACCGCTGAGCCAAACCGGCCAGGGCTGTATGCTGTAATTTCTAAGGCAGCCCTTTTCAACCAGGGTCCCATAAGAAAATAAAACAAAATGATCTGAGTGACCATTTTCTTAATTCTCCCAAAAAATGATATACAGCTAGTAGCACAACAGATGTAGAGGAGAGTCATTAACACATTACTTACAATGGATGCCTTAGAGCACTTGGGCTAAATTCTCTCACAGAATCACATCAGAGAAAGGCTGCTATGGGGTAACCATTAAATAACAATAAAAGAATGTATAAACAATAAATTAATTTTAAAAAGTTAAAACGAAAAACCTGATAATACAAAATTAGGCTAAAAAGGAGACAAAAGAAACAAAACATGGGATAAATAAAAACAAATAAGAAGATGGTACATTTAAATCCAAACATCAACTATGTTATATGTAAATTAACTTCTCCAATAAAAAGCAAAGAAAAACCAACTGCTAACATCATACTAATAGTTATATAATGAATGTTTTTCTTCTAGGAACAAGGGGGTAAAGCAAAGATGCCCTCTCTTTCCATCTATTCAACATTGTACAACTTCTATTCAATATTCCTAGCCAATGCAATAAGACATAAACAAATGTTTGAAACATACAAATAAAAAAAATCAAACTGTCTTTACTTACAGACTACACAATCACATATATAAAAAATCCTAAAGTGTCTCAAAAAAGTTATTAGAACTTGTAAATGAGTTTATTAAGCAATATACAAAAACCAATTGTATTTCTGTATACTAGCAATGAACAATTAGAATGAAAATTCAAAACATTTTAATCAATTGTATCAAAAAATGAAATACTTAAAAAGAAATTCAACAAAATATACGTAATGTTTGTACAATGAAAACTAAAACATTGCTGAGAGAAATGAAAAAAAACCTAATAACCAGAAATATATCCCATGATTGATGAATAGAAAGATTTAATATTGTCAGAATGGTAGAATTCTTCCCAAATTGATCTATAAATTCAATGCAACCCCAATCAAAATCTCAGCAGTCTTTTTTTGTAGAAATTGACAAACTGATTCTAAAATTTTTTTTTTTTTTTTTTATCCTCACCCGAGGACATTTTTTGTTCAGGTAGAGTGGGAGGGAGAGAGAGGAAGAGAGAGAGAGAGAGAGAGAGAAACATCGATGTGAAAGGGACACATCGAGTGGCTGCCACCTGCACGACTGAGCAGGGCCGGGGACAAACTGCAACCAAGGTACATGCCCTTAGCGGGAACCGAACCTGGGTCTCTCGGGACCGCAGGCTGATGCTCTAACCGCTGAGCCAAACCGGCCAGGGTGATTCTAAACTTTTTTTTTAAATCCTCACCTGAGAACCTTTTTGCATTTATCTTTAGATAGAGCAGGAGTGAGAGAGGGAGGAAGAGACAGAGAAACATTGATATGAGAGAGACACATTGAGTGACTGCCACTCACACAACCCCAACCAGGGCCGGGGACAAACTGCGACCAAGGTACATGCCCTTAGCGGGAACCAAACCCAGGGCTCTCTGGTCCGCAGGCCAACGCTCTAACCGCTGAGCCAGACTGGCCAGGGCTGATTCTATACTTTATATAGAAAGCCACAGAAGAGTCTAAACAATTTTGAAAAAGAACACAATGGAGAAGTTACACTATTTTATTTCAAGGTTTACTATAAAGCTACAGCAATCAAGGCAGTGTGTTAATGGCATAAGGACAGACATACCCATTAATGGTATAGGACTGAGAGCAAATAAATAGATCCAAACATACATGTACAACTGATCATCAGCAGACTTGAGAGATAATTCAGTGGTGAAAGGACCATCTCTTTTCAACTAAATATTTTAGAACTGGACATCATAATGACCAAAATTAACCCCAGCTCTTTCCTTACGTTATACACAAAAATTAACTAGAAATGTAATATAAACCTAAACATAAAAGCTAAAACTATAACTTCTAGAAGAAAGCATAGATAACCAAAATTAATGAATAGAACTTGAGAAAATAAATTTGTGTTGTTTAAGCTATTCAGTCTGTGATATTTTGTTATGGCAGCCCTAGCAGACAAAAACGGTATGTTTTTAAACTTTAGACATTTATGGAATTATACCACATGTATTCTACAACTTGCTTTTTTGCTAAACATTGTATTTGGAAGATTCATCCATATTCATGTGCACAGCTGTAGTACACTCATGTTCACTACTATAGCGTGTCATACACCACAATTTATTTACCCATTCTCCTCCTTCAATGGACAATAACACTTTGCTATTACAAACAATGTCAATACGAATATGCTGGTATATCTATATCAGAAATAGAACTGTTGGGTCTTCAAGTAGATATTTTAAGTGGTTAAACCAATTCACACTTCCATCAGGAGTGTATAAGAGTTAACACTGCTCGACCCTTCTGGTCCATACACAGACTCAGAAAGAAGCTACCATGGTGGTGTCCCCCCACAACAAAAGCAAGGTCAAGGCCGCCTGGGGTAAGGTTGGCAGCAGTGCTGGCGACTATGGCGCAGAGGCCCTGGAGAGGATGTTCCGGAGCTTTCCCACCACCAAGACCTACTTCCCCCGCTTTGACCTGTCCCACGGCTCTGCCCAGGTCAAGGGTCACAGCAAGAAGGTGGGTGACACCCTGACCAACGCTGTGGCCCACATGGACAACCTGCCTGGTGCTCTGTCGGCCCTGAGCGACCTGCATGCCTACAAGCTGTGTGTGGACCCTGTCAACTTCAAGCTCCTGAGCCACTGCCTGCTGGTGACTCTGGCCAGCCACCACCCCTCTGATTTCAACCCTGCCACCCATGCCTCCCTGGACAAGTTTTTTGCCTCCGTGAGCACCGTGCTGACCTCCCAATACCGTTAAGCTGGAGCCGCAGCTATCCCTACCCCAGGTCGGAGCCCTTTTACGCTCTGTGCACCCACACTTCCTGATATTTGAATGAAGTCTGAGTGAGTTGCAAAAAAAAAAAAGAGTTAACATTGCTCTATATTCTAACCAACATTTAATCTTTTTTTAATTGCATCAAGCTCTTATCTCTACTACATTAAAACTACAATTATTAAAGTACTTAATAAGCTCTATCTTGACAAATCCAATGGTCAATTGACCTTATTCTTGATTTATTTGACACCGTTGATTACTCTCTTCTTAAAACATCTGCTTTCTTCTTGCTAACTTACCTTTCTCCTATCCTCCATATAACAGTCAGAGTGATCTTTATGTTATTATCCTATATAAAGAGTTCCAGTGGTTAGAGCATCGGCCTGTGGACCAGAGAGTCCTGGGTTCAGTTCCCGCTAAGGGCATGTACCTTGGTTGCAGTTTGTTTGCCACCCCGGTTGCGGTCGTGTGGGTGGCAACCACTCGATGTGTCTCTCTCACCTTGATGTTTCTCTCTCTCTTCCTCCCTTTCTCCCTCCTGCTCTATCTGAAGATAAAATGCAAAAAAAAAAAAAAAGAGTTCCAATGGCTTCCCATTAAACTGGGAATAAATTCCAAATTCTTCCTACGGCTTAGAAGGAATCTGGCATATTTTTGTCCTCATTTTATTCCACCACCCCTATTACCAGTCTAGCCCAGGTTCACTCTGTTCCTGATATACATCCATGGACCTCTTGTGTTTACTATTCCCTCTGCCTGGAACACTCTTCTCTTAAATAGTCACATGGCTTGTTCTCTCGCTTCATTTATATCTCCCACCAGAGAGGTACATTGCTTGGTGAACCCTAAATTTTGAGGCAACAGATACCAAAGAATATCCTAGTTTGCTCTTGGGCACTGATAGACTTAATGCTTGACCACAGAGTGCCAAGTGACTATTACAAACTGACCACTACGTACTAGTTGTTATTTAGTACAACAAATCATAAAATTGGACATACAAACCTACATTCATTCCATTGTGAAACCAAGTCTGGAAGACAAGTAAATTCTATGTGCTAGTGACTCAGATTCTCATAGTGCCTGTTCCTGTTTCTACTATTTCTATCCTTCAACCTATATTCATGGCCTGATGGGAATTCCCTACTACCAGTTAACAGAGATCAAAAAAGTTGAGAACTGGTTTACAGATGAGTCTGACCATGTGTGGGCACAAGCTGAAAGCAAGAGCTTTCACTTACACCCTGCTGTGGTCTCAAAAATACCAGTGAAGGCAAATCTTCCTAGTGGGCACAATTTCAGGTATACAATTAGTTGTCTACGTTTCATGGAAGGCGACATTGCCTACAATACATGTCTATATTGACTAATGGGTAGTGACTAATGCGGTTATCTGATTAATTAGTTACCTGGAAAGAATAAGACTGGAAGACTAGAAACAAGGATTGTGGAGGAAAAGTGTGAGGATGGACCTCCTAGAATGAGTAAAGAATGAATTTATTTCTGTTGCATATGAATCCTCACCAAAGACCATCCACTATGGAGAAGCCTCCCAATCAGATGGACTTGATGATTCACATTATGAATGTCAATCAGCCCTTTTACCAATGCCTTCCCAATGAACTCATGTACAAAGTGATCATAGCCAGCCACTTAGGGGAAGATTCATTATGTTCGACCCCTTCTAACATGGAGGGGTGGCAATTTGCTTTCAAAGGACTAAATACATAGTCCAGGTATGAATTTGCATTGACTTAAAATACCATGGCTATACTTATTACCCTGGTATTCTATTCAATATTGCCTCCAATGGAGTCATTTTATAGGGAAAGAAGTACAGCGGTGAGCTCATACCTATATAATTCAGGGTCTTACTACATGCCCCATCATCCAGACATGGATTGCGATAATGATGAAATGTTTGCTGAAGATTCAGTTTTGGAATCAGCTAGGCAACACTACCAAGTTTGGGGGTGCTGTTGTACAGGATGCAATATACCTTAAACCAGAGGAAATCAAACAGTATTTTTCCCCCAGAATACATGGGTATAGGGACTAAGGGTAAAGAAATAGCAAGAATGTTTCCTCTTACTATATCCCTAATAATCCACTTACATTATTTTTACTTCTTATCCTCATAAGCTTGGGCTTGGTGGGTTTGAGGTTCTGGCTCTCAAAGGAGAAATACTTCTACCATGGAACAAGGTTATGATTTTATTAAATATGAAGCCGAGACTTCCTTCTAGTGGCATTTTGGGCTCTTCATGCTGCTGAACCAACAAGCAGAGAAGGAGCCACTCTACTGACCAGGATGACTGATACTAATTACCAATAGGGAATTGGTTGCTGCTACATAATAGGGGGGGCAGAAGAATATGTCTGGAACTCAGAGGACCCACTGGAGAGCCTCTTCATTCTCTCATATCTAATTGGCCCAGTCAATGGTACACTAAGGTAACCTGAAAGGGACAGGATCACCAAGGGCTCAGATCATCCAGGAAAGCAGGATTATATTACTTAACCAGGTAAAATAATGTGTCACTGAGATTCTGGCAGAGAATAAAAGTAATATGGAGTGGGTGATGGACGAAGAGAGTTATGATTATCAACTTAGACTTGTGAACAGCAAAAACTGAAGCATTTGCCCTGGCCGGTTTGGTTCAGCGGTTAGAGTGTCGGCCTGCGGTCCTGAGAGACCCGGGTTCGGTTCCCGCTAAGGGCACGTACCTCGGTTGCAGTTTGTCCCCGGCCCTGGTCGGTTGTGCGGGTGGCAGCCACTCGATGTGTCCCTTCACATCGATGTTTCTGTCTCTCTCTCTGTTTCTCTCTCTCCCTCTCACTCTACCTGAACAAAAAATGGAAAAATGTCCTCGGGTGAGGATTAAAAAAAAAACAAAAAAAAAAAAACTGAAGCATTTATATTTTGTTAATTGTGTCTTTTACCCTTTTCCTCACTTCCTTATATGAAAAGCACTGGTCACAGTGAAGTTTTAGGTTTCAAGTGGAAGTATTATTTAATTATATACGTCAACCTGCAATGATATGGTAGCTTAAGACTTTGTTTTTCTGCTGTGCTGGGAACACAACAATCCAAACGAAGGACAAAAGTGGATATTATAAGTTAAAAGGGGTGGACTCTAATGGATATTTTCCTTTCCCTCCCCCAAAAGATCTACTGTTCACCCTGCTCTGTGCCTCAGGAGGCTGACATCAGTTTATGGACTACATTACTTGAGGTTCCATGCCTTCAGGCTTGCAATTAGATTTGACCAAAAGTGGGAGGAGAATGGTAAAGTGACCAGCTAACTGTCCTGGTTTGCCCCAAACAGAGGAGCTTCTCAGGATATGGGACTTTCAGTGCTAAATCCCAGGCAAGCTGGGATGAGTTGGTTACCCTACATCCTGGCTTCTCTCTTCCTAGGCCCGGAAATGAAGTAATCATGTTTCTTTTAGCTAAGGCCATAGCTCCTACTAAGCTCCCCACTGCAGGGTTTGGTAATTAATCTCTCCCTTTGTAACTTAAGGCCTAAAAGTAGCAATTGCTCCTCATAGTTGTTTTCCCCAAGGCTATTCTCCATCCCTTGTTGATTTCTATAATCCTACCTATTTTTTTTCCCCCCAGAAGGGTATGTTTATTGACTTTGAAGCGGGACACACACACACACACACACACACACACACACACACACATCAGTATGAGAGAGAAACATCAATCAGCTGCCTCCTGTACAAGCCCCAAATGGGGATTGAACCCACAACTTGGGTAAGTACCATGACCAGGAATTGAACCCGCAACCTTTTGGTATATGGGACACTCCAACCAACTGAGCCACCTGGCCAGGGCTTGCCTATCTTTTTCATGAAACTTTGAATTACCCCAACTGAATGAGCCATCTGTTTTCTGCTAGAATATTGACTGATACATTCTGGTTTATTTCTTCCACAACCACTGTTACTACCTGATACTATACTGCATATTTATTTATTTCCTGTGTAAGGCCCTTGAGGGCCAAGTCTTGTCTGTTCAATTCACTGCTATATCCCCCATATGTAGAGCAGTGCCTAGCACAGAGTAAACCCTCAATAATTAATAATAATATTATATGGTCAATAATAATAAGCTGTGATTTTTTTCTTTATTGATTTTTTTAGAGAGAGAGAGACATCAATGAGAGAGAACATCAACAGGCCGCCTCTTGCATGCCCCCCACCAGGGATTGGGCCCACAACCTAAGCATGTGCCCCGACTGGGAACTGAACCGGCGACCTCTTGGAGCATGGTTCGATGCTCAACCACTGAGCCACACCAGCCGGGCAATAAACATTTATCAACGACAAGTATTTTCTGAATAGTTAATTAAATGATTTGAATGATATATACATGTTAGCAGTGACTATTTCTCAAGGTGGAATTACAGGTTATTTAAACTTTCTGTTTTGTGCCTTTTTACATTTTATAAACGTACTTTAGTATAATTATATTACTCTATAATTAAAAATGTTATTTTATACACACTCTAAGAGAAATAAAAAGATGTAATATGTATATCAATTTATGTAAAACTGCAAGGAGGAGGCCCAATTTCTGCAGTGATTCTCAGGAAAGATGAGAGCTAGATGCCTTAGAACAAATTATTAAAGAAAGACAAATTCTAAACATGGGAGAAATAAAATAAAGATGCTTCCAAACTAAAAAAAGGCAGAAGATCTAAAGTAAAAGAAATGTATAACGGAAGTGAATTTCATAGAAAATACAGCAGCAATGGGAAGACTACAACGAAAAAGAAGGAAAAATGATGAGACCCTATAGAACATATGAACAAAGTTGGGGTCAAAATTATCTTACTAAAAACAACAGTGGCTAGTATTTATAAAGAATTTACTACCAGCCAGGTCTGTTCTCAGAGTTTTATATACAGGATCTCATTTAGTGCTTGTAGTGTTTGTTATGGTAGTAATAGATCCCATTGTATCCTATCTCCCCAAATCTCTATCCTTGTGTAGTTCTCACCCACAATGACTGTGGAAATGGTTATGTGACTTGCTCAGTGAATGACATATTAACAAATGTAACACAAACAGGTTAGAAAAGTGCTTTGCATCCCAGTGATTTCCTGAGAATCACTGCAGAATTGGGCCTCCTCCTTGCAGTTATGGCTTGCCCTCTGCCTGCATCCCAGGGCTTGTTCTCTGCCTGATTTTGGAAACTAGTGGCCTTGTGTAAAAGTCTGAGTTAGTCTGCTAGAAATATGTCACCCAAGCCATAGAAAGCACCAACAGCCAGACATATAAAATTGGTACTGGCTTCGATCCTGTCCTAGTTGGGCCACTAGATGACTATATGAGTGATCCCAGGCAAGACCAGAAGAAAAAAACTGCCCAGCTGAACTGAGTCCAAGATGATGACCTACAGAACCATAAGAAAATGACATAGTTTAAAAATGCCTGATCTTTTAGGTCACTAAGTTTTGGGGTCCTTTTTTTGGAGTAATAGATAGACACAATCCTCAAAATAACCTCCAAGATATGAATTAGTATACACTTACAAAATGAGTAAACAGAATCATAAAAAAAGTAACTTACTAAAGTTAGTTAATGACAAAGCTAGTATCTGAATCCAGGCCGTCAAAATCCAATTCTGGGAGGGAGAGGGAGGGAGGGAGACAGAGACAGAGACAGAGACAGAGACAGAGACAGAGACAGAGAGAGATCGATGGGTTGATTCCTGTACTCACCCCAACTGGGATTAAACTCAAAACCTTTTTAGTGTACAGGGCCAACGGTCCAACCAACTGAGCCACCCGGCTGGGGCAGACTCCAAAACTTTTAACTACTGCCCTACAGTAAATGAGAAAGATGACTTGAAAAGATTTTAAACACTGACAGATTGGTGATAAGGTGATTATAATGGGAAAAATGGATGATTTGGGGGACTTAAATGGAGAGAAGGAATTCCATCAGAATTTGATTGCCAGAATTCACAATAAAGTCATGTGACTGTGCCTGCAGTACTAAAGAGATGGTACTGCCTAACAGAGTGAGAGGTAGGCAATTCTTCAATACCAATAGCACTTGAAGACACTAACATAGCAATGGTGACACCCCCCTGACCCCAAAACCACTAAGAAAGACATAATACACTGCTTCTCACCTGACAGAAGGTGGTGGTGTTGAGATTCATAATTGAACTGTATCTCCATGGGCTGCAACTGGACAATGGACAGCTCTGGGAGCAACTGGAAAATTACCATTTCCTCAATAAGCTGTTCTGGTCCCGGTAGGGGTCTGAGACCTGGAGGCAACTGGGCACCACTGGGCTTGGGAGCGAAACATTGCGGAGACTTGAGATATAATTTTTTACACTACACCACCAGAAACATCCTCTAGATATAAAAGAAGTAAAGGAGGAAACAAAATCTCATTTAATTCCCAAGTGCTTGTCTCTCAGAAATTATTACGCTTCCTCTCTCGTCATCCAGGAGTCAGGCATTACTCCTCTTGGGCATATATTCTCCATTCCAAGTCTAGAGATATTTAAACATCATTGGTGGTTAATGCTAGCAAAATAAGGGCAAAACTGGAAAGACAAAACAAGGGCGGAAATCTTACAATTATGCCCCAGAGGTTAACACTCTGTGATTCGCTTCCCTTCCTATACCCAAATAACACTACTGAAGCATCATCGCGATCCGTCTTCCTCCTTCCTTCCCCTTCTTCCAACACTCACACATTCAGACTGCTCTTTCCAGGCGCTGTCGGCTGATTCTCGTGGATGCATCCACGCTTCTGATTCCACCCCCCCCCCCGCCCCCCATTTCCGATGTTCATTCAAATGAACCCAAGGGCCAGCAAGTACTGACCGGATACCAACAGCACTCCAGGCCAAGAACCGAACCAGCTCGCGGAGCCTAGGAGCCACGCCCAGCGGCGACTCCGGTGGCCTTGACTCTCCCATGGCCTCAAGGAACCGCACAGGATTCCCTGGCAGCGCCGCGAGGCCGCTTGAAAGGCTAGATCAACAGTTCCTCCGCCTCTCGAGAGCTGACATCACCCATACCTAGAGGTGTTCTGCAGGCCGCTCTCAAGCCTCACACTCCGGGAACCGGCCGTCGCCGGGTCCGCTCTAGGAATCTGGGAGGACTGCTCAGCTCTATGGAGCGGGGGGCCTCGCACTTGCGCACGCGCGGCGCGGTGGCGGCGGGGTGGGGGTGAGCACTGGGGGGGTGGCTAAGCTTTAACACCAGAACACCTGCGGAACTGTGGCGAGGGACTTGGTGAGCCGGCGACAGATCCCTTCCCCTATGCCGTTTTTTGACGTGAATGTCGGAAAACATCTTTCAGGAAAGCTCCATGCGGCAGAGTAGATTTCCTGGCTACAGAATGAGTTCTTCCTTAGTTACCTCCACCCCTATCTCTCAATTAGATTCACTGATGTATTTCCATTCTAACTTTCATCCGGTCCTCTTGGGTTTCCCCCCAGATCATTGGCATGCCTCCGAATCCCCAGGAGGCCTTGTTAAACTACTCATTGCTGGGACCCACCGACTCAGTAGGTCTGGGGTGGGAGCCTAGGTTCTCAGGTGATCCGACTGCAGTTGATTCTGGGACCACACGTTGAATACCAAGGCCGTACAAGTAATGTTCAGCAATGAATCCCTGAATTTCTGGGAAGCTGGTTTTCATCTATTCTGCCATCAAGAAAGGGCATGGGTCTCTTTATAAAAAGTGTGCTTGCCAGTACAATCCTCACTGTGACTAAAGGCTCAGGGTGAAAAGAAGGACCTGAAAAGGGGGGTGGGGCAGCAGAGCCTCAGGGTAGGAAAGGATATTACTGTGTTCTTGGAAATATCTGGGGTAATAAAAGGGGAATTAGGAGAAGAACTGAGACATATGAGACATGCGACTTGGGTTAAGATGCCTGGAAGAAAAGGTGCAGGTATGAGAAAATGGTGGCTGGCTGACATGATGGTTAAGGTAGAGGGAGAGAGCTTCTTGTTCCAGCTCAAGATCCTCTTGGAATACAGTGATACCTCGGTTCTCGAACGCCTCGAATTTCGACCAAATCGGTATTCGACCAGGAGATTCTAGAAACTTTTGTCTTGGAATCCGAACAAATATTTGGAACTCGAACTTCCGAGATGAGCCGAGTTGAGCCTAATGGCGTTCATTCGGCCCAGCGCGCCTTGCTTGCGTCATCAGTGTGAGTGCAGAGAGAGAGTCACGCTTTGTGGAGAGAGTCACGCTTTACACTGAATTTAACCCTTAGACATACTGTACACTTTTATTTCTTGTTGAGACTTATGTTTTTCTACATGTTATATACAAATTAGGCCAGTAAATAGGCATTTTCTGGGGCTTGGAACGAATTAATCCAGTTTCCATTATTTCCTATTGGGTTTCATTGCTTCGGTTCTCGAACAATTTGGTTCTCGACCGTCCTCCTGGAACGAATTATGTTCGAGAACCGAGGTATATGAAATCTTCAGGATGTATGAATGAGACCCTGATATACCTAGAAGGCACTTGTTTGGGCCCAGCCCTCACAAGTAGTGAATGCAGATACTTTCTTTTAAAAACAGAGTTACTGAGGTATAAAAGACATACAATAACCAGCAAATATTTAAAGTATACAATTTGATAACTTTTGTCATATCCATACAAATGTGAAATCATCACCACAACCAAAACAGTGAACATATCCAGCAACCCCCAAAGTTTCCTCCTTCCCTTGGTAATCCCTCCCTTTCCTCCCACAGCCCCCTACCAGTGTTCTGCTTTCTTCTTCTTTTGAAAAAAAATATGTTCTTACTGATTTTTTAGAGAGAGAGGAAGGGGGAGAAACATCAGTTGGCTGCCTCCTGCAGGCCCCCTACTGGGGATGGAGTCCAGCCTGGGCATGTGTCCTAACTGGGACCTCTCAGTCCATGAGGCAATGCTCAATCCACTGAGCCACACCAGCAAGGCATGCTTTATGTTATTATAAATTAGCTTTCATTTTCTAGAGATTTAATTAAATGGAATCATATAGAATGCACTCTTTTTTGGTCAGGCTTTTTTCACTTGTTTTGAAATTTATCTATATTGCTCTTGTATCAACAGTCCATTTCTTTTTGGTGCTAAATATTCCATTGTAAGTATATACCACAATTTGTTTATCTGTTCACCGGTTGATGGGCATTTGGGTTATTGCAGTTTTTTATGATTACAAATAAAGCTTCTATGAACATTTGTGTATAAGTATTATATGGACTTATTTTTTTCTTACACGGTAGGTGTATGTTCAACATTTTCAGCAACTGCTACACTGTTTTCAGAGTGACTGAACCATTTTGCATTTGTATGAGAATGCCATAGTTGACATACCACTTTTAACGGGTTTCTAGTAAAACAGAATGAGAAAGTTAATCAAAAGTTAATTCTCCTATATAAAGGTAAAGGGTTTTGTTGACCTTTTATCCAGATGTGATGATATGAATATAGATCTTTGGGTGTTTAACTAAGGAAATGAAGCTGTTCTTTCAGATTATGTTAGATTTGTTGCTTTTGGGTGTTTTACCAGAAATGTTACAGTTTGTGTGTGAGTCTGAGAAACCAGTTTGGAGTTTAACAGTTTGTTGGATTGGCCAAAACAAACCTACACCCAGCTGTGATCCACACCAGCTGACACTGAAGAGGTTCCTCTCAGTAAGATAAGGAATTTAGAGGTTTCCAGAGAGATTGGGAATGATAATATAGGCATGGGAAACAATATGAGATTCTCAAGAATTAAACTGACAGGCCACCCACCAATATTCTACCGGATTTCTCTTTCCTATTCCATTTCCTCTTGGAGAAAACTAGGCCAAATTAACATGTCTGATTTAGACTAGATTCTAGAGAAGTGGTTCTTAAATTTTTTGAGATAATGATGAAAACTATGGCCCTTTCCCTCAGAAAGTTGAACATAAACATCCACATATGAACTTCTACTTATCGTGTATTATATTACATTGGAAGTAAATTTCATTTGATACTTAAGCTATATAAGCAGTCGTCACAAAGAATAAATTTTAATGTAAATATCAATTTGCAGTTCCAGGTAAAAAAGGAACCTAAATCAAAATTGTGAAGCCACATAAAAAAATTAACTTTCCTGTTCATCAAATCAATATTAATAAGTAGGCTGCTACTGTTTGTTTTGAACAAGACATCTAAATAAGGGACAATATGACATTTTTGACATGTTAATGTGCATGTCCAATTGACTTTGACTTTTAAAAAACAGAACCAGTGTTGAAAAATCAGTTTCAGAAAAGCACATATTGGCCACTATAATCAGAGTTCCCAAAGTTCACTTTGGCAGAGATGGGTAGGCTTGTATCAAGGAACACCAGATTTCCCCGAGGACTTTAAAGCTGAATTCAAATCAGATCATTTCCTTTATCTCCAATCAATGAGGTCATTGGCATCAGTATGAAAAGTGTTCGATTTTGAGTAACTGAAAATCAAGTCACAGCAGTTTAAATAACTCTTTGTTTGTATTTATCACATTGTTGTAGGTTGAATTTTGTCCCTGAAAAAGGTATGTTCAAGTCCTAACTTCTGGTACCTGCAAATGTGATTTTATTTTATTTTTATCCTCATCCGAAGATATTTTTACATTTATCTTCAGATAGAGGGGGAGGGAGAGTGGGAGGAAGAGAGAGAAACATCGACATGAGAGAGACACATCGATTGGTTGCCACCCGCACAACCCCAACCGGGCGTGGGGACAAACTGCAATTGAGGCAAGTGCCCTTAGTGGGAATCGAACCCAGGACTCGGTCCACGGGTCAACGCTCTAACCACTGAGCCAAGCCGGCCAGGGCTGCAAATGTGATTTTATTTGGAAATAGAATCTTTGCAGATGTAATCAATTTAAGGTAAGGTTATACTGGATTAACATGGGTCCTAATCCAATGACTGGTGTCCTTACAAGAAGAGGTAAATTCAGACACAGAGGAGAGGTGCCACTTGAGCATGGAGACAGAGACTAATGTGATGCATGTACAAGGCAAAGAAAACCAAGGATTGCCAGCAACCACCAGAAGTTAGGGACAGATGTGGAACAGAGCCTTGAAAGGGAGCATGGCCCTGTCAGCACCTTTATTTTAGACTTTTAACCTTCAGACTGTGAAAGTAAATTTCTGTTTTATTAAGCCACTCTGTTTGTGGTACCAGAAGTGGGCTACTACTACAACAAACACCTAAAAATGTAGATGTGTATTTTGAATTGGGTAATGGCTAGTGGCTAGAAGAGATTTAAAGTTCATAATAGAAAAAACCTAGGATGCCTTGAAGAGATTGTTAGTAGAAACATTGACATTAAAGGTGATTCTGGAAAGGGCACAGAAAGAAGTGAAAAGGACTATGAGAAATATTCTCTCATCTTAGAGAATACGTATATTTTCATGAACAGAATGTTGCTAGAAGTAATAAGCATTAAAGATATTTCTGGTGAGGACTCAGACAGAAACAAGGAAAACATTATGGGAAACTGGAGAAAAGGTGATCCTTATTATAAAGTAGTAGAAACTGACGGAATCATATTCTGCTATTGGATGGAAAATAAAGTTTGTAAATGATGAACTTGGATATTTAGCTGAGGAGATTTCTAAGCAAAGTGGGGAAAGTGTGGCCTGGTTTTTCCTTTAGTAAAATGTGAGAGGAAAGAAATAAATCGAGCAAGGAACTGTTAAGCACAAAAGAGTCAGCACTTAATGATTTGGAAAATTCTCAGCCTATCCAGATAGCATGTTCTGGAGACAAGGCCGTGAGGGTAGCTGGACAACCTTTTGGTGAAGAGATTAGGTGTGTGAGTCATAGATCTAATAAACCATCTCAATAGAAACCAGGAATAGAAGTGGGGTTATCCAGGAAGGATCTGTGGAGAACCCTTGCAACTAATTGTGTGGATCCCTTGATATCCATAGACCAACATGGTTCTTGAGAATGTTACATTACTGAAAACACTGCCAGCTTAGACTGAATTGGGCAGACACAGGAAGAAACAAAGGAAGGCTGATATGCTTCTGGGATTCCACATGCAGGAAATGTGCCACTACTGAGGGCTGGG